GTGCTTGCCACGAACAATTGACCAATCGTTGAATGAATAGCAACGTACTTCGAACACGTGGTTCAGGTCGACCTAAGATCGATATTAAATGGACCGCAAAATACTGTTCTTATGAAAAAATTCAAATATTAAAAATTATAAAAGATGTTCACGGACGTTTTTAATTTGTTGTTCACTAGAAAATATGTATAATAAAATGTACTCTGTACCAAGTTCTAAATGGGCTTTCACGAGAAGCGCTGACTTTTACAGTTGACAACTTACTTTTACACCAATCACAACTTCTCGGGCCTTTCCGACTAGCGGAAAAACGACCTCGAATGTATATGGTAGACGCCATGACAACCCTCCTTTTTCATGATCTTTGAAATAAATGCATGGAGACCTTTTATCTGTGGAATATGGAGTTTAACTTTATTCCATGTAATGATATTACCTAAAATATACCATAGAAGGGACTTATAACTCCGTCTATCCTACATTTGATTAAACAGGAAATGTATAAATTTTTAACATCCGGCGATGTTAATACATTCGAGGTTGTTTTTCCGACCTCTGACGGAAAGACCCGAGATGATGCGATTGACTTTTACACTAAGACAATGTATGGAAGCTCTTTTACTATACAACTATTTAGCTCAACATTTAACTCGACGAAAAAAAATGAGTTATTTCAAAGCACAAATAAGTTGTCTTTTAAGAAAACGACAACCATCCTACCCTCAATCCCAACTTTCATACGCAAGTGCCCCTCACACCATATTTATAACCACTTAAAAAGTTCCTCATCTTTTATCAGTTTTGTACCTCCGTACACGACACAGGTTTAAATGTCCAAGTAAACCGTCAACTGTAAAAGTCAGTGCTTCTCGTAAAAGTCCCAGTACTGGACATTTTCGGAATCTCAGACACCTGACATCGGACTTTATGATGTTTAAAATACATGTACATTTTAAAGCATATGTTTATACCGTACATAGAATTTATTCTCGTTATACATTTTTATTTTTTTACTAGACTTGTCTTCAAGGAAAGGAGTGACACGATCATTTTGTGCCAAAGTCACGATTCGATTCCAATCGAAACATCACTCGGCATTTTTCGTTAAATTAAGATGTTACACGATTTTAATTTAATGACTGAAAACAATTAGATTTCCATGAAATTAATTAAAGTAAATTCCGTTTTTGAACCTGATTCTCAAACACAAGAATCTCTACTTCGATAACATCAGAATGACGTATTATTGTATCTAATATGGACTAGTAACACTAAAGCAACGATTTTTTTCATCTTTGTAAAAGTTGAGTTATTTTTTTTTGGGGGGGGGCAGGGGGGATAGGTACATTTTGCCCTAATCATCATGTACATCTATAGACCTTTTATATAGGCCCATAGTACGCAGCCCCCCCCCATTTTTTCTAAGGAAAACAAATTAAGAAAAACATACAGGGTTATTTTCGCCTCGTGTAATTTTCATCCTTTCACACTTGCAAACAATTTTGCCCCGTTTTATTTTCGCCCATTCACACTTTTAATGAAGAAATTATACTTTTCCCTTTGAAATCGTAAAAATTTCTAAGGACTGTTACGTTATAAATTGTCTTCAAAATTAGTAATGCAAAAAAGGATTCGTTTTAAGTCAGTCTCAATTCAGATATTAATTTTAAGACTATTTAGATTGATATTATACATATAAGTTTCGATCGTATTTTCAGCTGTCTTGCGGCATTTCTGATCGCCTATGTATTTGATTTAAGTTAAGCCATATAGTTAAAAAAGCCACAGTTCCCTTGCTTCATTCAATCACATTTTTTTTATCCTTTCTTTCTTCATTTTAATAAAAAATCATGTCAAGAATCTTAAAAATCATGCAATATTATAACTTCTTTCAAATGTTATCCATATGCATGTTCATTCTACTTGTAATCCTTTTGCTTGAGGTACAATAAATATCTACCTTAATGTTCCTGAATAAATGTCCTTTCCTCTGATGAGTAGGAAAGATGTTAAGACAAAAAAATCGAGCCGCTAAATTCTAAATACACTATTTCCTAATCATAGTGTACTCCCTTCCTGATGTTTCGTATAAAGTATTTAATTTGTAAGGTTCTGAAGCATTACCACCACCCCCCCCCCCCCCCCCCAAAGAAAATGGACGGATCATATTATTATTATTTAATTACCATTACACTATTTTCTTAAAGTAATGCATTACATTACCATTACGTTAGTAAAGTAATGCATTACCATTACTTATGGGTGTTTTTAAACATAGAAATTTATACAAAACTTTGCGGGTTTTTTTATATGATATCTCCCCCCTTCAAAACTAAACATGATAAATAATAATTCAAATTTGATTTCAAGTTTTTGTATATATTACATTGTCAATAACTTACATTCACAGAAAGTTCAAGATTTTAAATTGTCAGTTATACAACACTTGTACAATATCCCCTTTTTATTTAACTATTGATGTCATGAAGCAATTTAACTTTTGGGGCACTTTAACCCCTAGCTGCCTAAAATATCTAATAATAAAGCATATAGGCTATTTTGATTATAAGTGCCTTAATTATAATGAAATATATAATAAATGCATTGACAAACTTTTTGAATAGGTAGACAGGATGTACATTTTGATCTGCTAATCATATAATGCCTGCATGTCCTCTATTTCTTTGGTACAATGGAATTTTCATGGTCAGTATAAGCTAGACCAGCTCAATTAATGTTTTATAAACACAGTCAGGAGAAAAGGACTGGTAATTTGGAGCATTTCTCCAAACAATGCATTGTTTTAATTGTTACATAACCCAGAGGCGTAGTGTGTTTTGACGACACTCTATCTATTCAAAAGGTGGCAAGGTTTACACTGTACATGTACATTAATTAGTGTATCTTATATGTGATTTAATAAAAAAAGACCTTTTAAAACTATTATATATAATTCTTTGAAATCAATTCTTATTTGAAATAAGTTTGAAAATTATGATATGACCCTTGACTTCATGAACTTGAAGTATTTCTCGGAAAGATACGAATGTTTGATCATAAAAGTGTACTTTTAAGGTATAGTGGGTCTTCGCTCCATGTTTTTGTAAACCAAAAAATGCATATTTTGTTGCAAACTTTTAGGATTATATTTCAAGAAAATGGAGCGAAAACCCACTCATATTGAAAAATGTTGTTTAAGTAAGAAAAAATGGTCGCTTTTGTTCTTTTTAGTGTGTGTATGCTTTTTCATATTAGGCAAATATTTTCAGTCTTTGTGAGATTTTTGTAAATTGTAGAGATTTTACATTAAGTATACGTTAATATTAGATGAAATATCAAATAAAATTTGGATATAATTGAGGTTAAATTTTCTGCTTCTTATCTGACGCACTATAGGCACTTCGTCCGCCATATCCCCCTATCTTCTTTTCGTAAAATTTCTTGAGGGGCCAAAAAACGGCCTTATCGAAACTCCCCCTTTACCATCGTTAAGTCTAATGCTGACTGACGTTTTTCATGCTACATATAATTGTTAGGCCATTACTTACACACTGAATTGTCTTCGGATTTTCCCCAATCATGACAAGGAGAAATCGACTGGGGATGATTGCACCTCCATTGTACCTGATCCAACCTCTGCTGTCTTGTAGATTCTTGTTTTTGTTCTGCTCCCAATTTCTATTATTTAAATGGAATTTGTACGTAATTACTGCTCGTTATCTTCATATCTCATCTTTATAAATATTTAAAAAATACTTCATATAACTTGTATATCGAAAAACATATTCAAATATTCATTGTAGACATGTAACAGTTATTATTTTAGGGCACATGTAACATTTCTCATGATCTTAAAAAAGTGACAGAATCCAACGTAATCTAAAAGACAAGAGGCTCATGGACCACATCGCTCACCTGCGAAGCTTTGACCATGCTATTCTTAACCAGATTTCCCCCTTGTAATACCTATTGTGACCCCATTGTATCCCACAGGTCATAATTTGGACAATTTAAAATCTACACTACCCCAGGATGCTTCCACATAAGTTTCAGCTTTTCTGGCCAAGTTAGTTCTCGTGAAGAAGATTTTTAAAGTTTTTTCCTATATATTTCTATGTAAAACTTTGATTCCCTATTGTGGCCCCGCCCAACTCCCGGGGGTCATGATCTGAACAATTTAGAATCTACACTACCCCAGGAAGCTTCCACCTAAGTTTCACCTTTTCTGGCACAGTGGTTCTTGAGAAGATTTTTCAAGATTTTTCCTATATACTAGTATACATGTACGTAAAACTTTGATTCCCTATTGTGGCCCCGCCCAACTCCCGGGGGTCATGATTTGAACTATTTAAAATATACACTACCCCAGGATGCTTCCACCTAAGTTTTAGCTTTTCTGGTTTAGTGATTCTTGAGAAGAAGATATTTTAATGACCCCACCCTATTTTTGTATTTTCTTGATTATTTCCCCTTATGAGAAAACCTGGCCCTTCATTTTAACAATTTAAATTTTTCTTCACCCAAGGATGCTTTGTACCAAGTTTGGTTAAAATTGGTCCAGTGGTTCTTGAGAAGAAGTCGAAAATGTGAAAAGTTTAGAGACGGACGGACGACGGACAAAATGTGATCAGAAAAGCTCACTCGAGCCTTTGGCTCAGCTGAGCTAAAAAAGTTAGTAAAGATCTTTTTGTACAACAGTTTTATATAAAATAGACAAACAAACATACATATTTATAAAATATGTCACGAGAAATAAAATATCTCAATATACGTTTTATATGCTACGTTAAATACAGGTTTTAGGAAACTCACTGTTTGACATGAAAAATGCTAGTAAGTTAATTATTACAGAAGCGCATATAAATCATATATTTATATGGATATCTTATAGCAACTCAACTTCTGTCGCATCAGATTCTATTCAGAAATCACTCTGTCAGGAAAATGACATTCTGTGTTTATGTCGATGAAATCACAAAAACTACTGATTTTCTCCTAGGCCTGTCTCTACCTGTTTTACCGAAAGCGACCATAATCCAAAAGGACCATTCAACAACGAAATTGCTCAGATATTGACCTAAATAATTTCAGTAAGCCCATTGCGGAAAAGAAAACGGAAAAACTTTTCTTGTAAAAATGACCAATTTGAAAAAATATATGCCCGCCTGCTTTGGTTATGATGGAGGAAAATCGGTCCAGTGATTCTGGGATAGAAGCCAAAATTTGAAAATTTATACGCACTGAGTGACAGACAACACTTTTATGATCAACCAGTGGTGCAGGTCATCTTAACTCCTTGTTTAAGTACCTTGGGTTCTCTGAAAATTTTATTTCCTTTAAGTTTTATTTTTCTCCTTAAGATTGATGCTCTTTTTTTTCAGTTTTTTCTTATAATGTTAAAACTTATGATTATAACCTCTACCTTTAAACTGCAAATAAACTGACAAAATTTAAGGAAGACCTGACATCTGCAGACTTCCTTTTTTTGTTATCTATCTCTTAATAAGAAATGCAACCACAGCTGCCCCTGCAGTAAGAGCTGCTGTACCCGTTGCAGCTAAAGCGGCTTGGGCTTTTCTCTTGGCTGCAATAGCTGCATCTGCCATTTGTTTAAGAATTGCGTTTGAGTTTTGCTGTGCTATCAGACTTTTAAAGTAGTTAAATGCTTCTTCGATTTGAGAGTCAAGTTGTGCTTTGCATTCAAATTCATGCTCCACCACATGCATTCTTGGTGTGTCTTTCAGTGCCTCCCTTGCCTTTGCTTTATAATGTTCATGTTTACTTCTTAATTCGGTCTCGTGAAGGAACTGCCCAACTGGTAGATCACAAACCTAGAAAACATGCATCAATATCAATAAAATACTTTTATAAATATTATTTTTAACAATTTGAATGATATTTAATGTGCACTAAAATTTTTAAGTGTTGTAAATCTATACCTCTTTCATCCCGACAGTGTATAATTTCAATGCCTTATTAACGGCTAATCGTCTTCCCACTGCTGCTGTAGCCTTATGAAAAGAAAAGTAGCAACTGCCAAAAACCCTTCTTTAAAACGTAGTCGAGAGAGAAAGAGAGAGAGAGTACATAATATTTAGGCAGGCTAGCCTACGTACCTCAAAAGTCGTCTGTGGACTTGGAAGCTCTTCATTTTTCAGGGAGTGGACATATGCCTTTTTGAATGAAAGTCAAACTTTATAAACATTTGCTTTACAATATACCATCCTTGCAAAGTATTTAATTTGAAATAAGATAAATTTCAATAAAGTCGTTAGAAATTTGTACAGCACACGGTCTTTTTTAAACCTTTAAACAAAGCATGAAGGAAATGGGATTTCATTTCGAATTTGGCTGTTACGGTATCATATAGTCGGTACATGTAGAAAATCCGTGTTTCAGAAACCTCGGGATCGAAGCGCCGTCATGACAAACCTAAGTCGTTTTAAAATGAAAGGTTCATAAGCTACATTGCTCACCTGAACACACTGGCACTGGGATCAGTATTGAAAATTTTATTGAAAGAGGATGGGGGTGGGTTGAGGACAGAATTAAATGTACACTACTTGCTAACAGAATGCTTTGATATCAATGTTACTATAATCCATGTCTTTTTTGTTCGTGAGCAGAATTTTAAAGATTCTTTACCCTGTGCATTCCTATATAAAATTCTAATAGCTTATTGTGGCCCCATTTCATCTATGGGCAACTTAAATTTGAACAGATTTGAGGCAAGCAGGGAGCCCCATCCCGACCCTCTCGTATAAGCAGAATATTTAGGGAGGATTTAATTTTGGCATCGTTAGCGAGGGTGCCAAGATCGCTAAAAATTAATTGCGCTTTATTTGTAATAGCTTCTTTAGTGGGCTTTTTATAATCGCTAAATTTGCGTCTCGCTAAAATTTCCTTTTATACGTAATTGGAGGGTCAGTCAAAGGGAGCATTTTTGCAAACTCGGAAGACATCTACGATTGTTATTTGACCAAAGAAAATAATATTGAAAATATTTTCAGTTTATTTCACGATATGAAGACTACAATGTATGTAACAAAATTGAGAACTTTTAACTTATCCTTTCTTTCTGCTTAGAAAATATGGAAACTTCCTTACTGAATAATCAAAATACAAACAATACGTTTCATTTCCTAATAGTAGTAACCAAAAATATTTTCAGAGAGGGACGTTATACTACATACAATCAAATGAATCAATCAATCAATCTTTCTTTGTCGAAAGATGCAAAACTTTTTTTAGACACTCCTCTCTCCTGCAACTAGTATTTTGTTTTGATAAATCATTAACCCATATTTTCTTGACATAGGTCGCTTTGAAGGACATTTTTTAAAACCTTTCAAGGCGTCCCTTCAAAAGTCCTTTTCTTAATATTTATACCGATTTAAAATGTAAGTAATCAGTAACTAAAACTCAGAACTACGGCATTTGACCAACCAAATTCATTTCCCATTGAACTTTTTTTTTACCTTGAAATTTATTTATAATGCATTAATACACGAGAATACTTGATAGCGGGCTTTAAAGGACCAATTTTATCTACTAGTGGTCCTCCACAGAAAAATTGTTTGCGGGCAATACCATGAACACCTTACTTTGATATAGTTTAACAAGTCTTCTCCTTTTACGTCAGTGCTATTGATCCGCTTTGTAACCAGTTTTTCCCTCGACACAATATAAGGAACAAATTCCTTTACATACTGAATGAATTCCTCATCGATATCTGAAATTAAGCATGCAAGTTTCATAGAAATTAGCTAAAGAAATGCTTGTTTGAAATAGGTTTGCTGAAGGAAAAAAAACAATAATGTATCTCCACACATCACAAAATCAAAGTACTGAAAGAACTGAAAGCCGGGCTTTAATTGCTCGAGTATGTTGTCGGATCCGAAATTACTAAATACAGTTGTATTTATTTTTTTTTTCATTTTGGCTGTTGATTTTTAACAGGTAGAGTTTGTATGATTATGATTGAAAACAATATCTTATATACCAGTAATTAAAATTAACAGTCCAGACCCCAAGATATGTTATGATTTTAAAATTTTAAAAATCATATTTCCAGGAAATTCTCGCATATTTTCTATTCAATAAGCATTTTTTTCTCATAATTTAAAAATTCAGTCTTGGAATAGTTAATGCACGTATGTATTTAATAGACATTCCTTTAGTTTCAAACAAACAGTACTTTTATTGCCAACTACATGTAGAAACAATAATACATGTACATTGTCAAGCGACTTCACGCATGTTAATTCTTAAAATTCCAATTCACTTTACTATTAATTTGCTAAAAATCAAAACAGAATATAACCACTAACATAACATCGACGAAAACGATATGAAACATGAAACTCTTCAACAATTTCAACATTTCGAAAAGCCCGCGCTATTGAAATGGTTCGCTTAGAATATGCACTCAACAGCGTATATGCACAAATTGTTATATCACGATTTTCCCATAAAGCAATGATCTAATTTCTTTTTCAGTTTAATTCTCAAGCATAAATATAGATCATTAACTTTTCCAACGATTGGGATGTTAAAAATATTTGTTTGAATATCGTCTCGCAATGGGACTATTTTGTTTGTCGGAAGCGTATGCTTTGACGCTGTTTGGTTTCTTTGTTTATTGTGCTATTTATAGTAAGACAGTCGATCATGATGCCTATAGCTTTCAGCAAAGCCCGGCTAAAATATGTTCTAGAAGTATTTACAAATCAAATGCTGATATTAAGAATTTATTACTTCAATATCCATTTCAATTATTTATAGATTATCGACCTGGTACTCCAAATGTCTTTCATAAAGAAAAAGAATAGAAACTCAACATTGGATTTGTACAAGAAGTGAGGGATTAATTGAAAAAGTATGCTTTAAAGCAATATATCCACACGGACAGTATTTAAATACCTTTCACCTTTCCATTAAAAGTTTTGCTTGTAACAACAACTTTGCCAGGATGAGGTAAAAGAAACCCTCCAATGTCTGGGAAACATGCATCCAAATTTCTGCGAAGTCGCTGATGTTCTTCGTGTTGACTTTGATGTACCTAAGGTAATGCCACTGCATTTATATCTCAAGATTGACAAAATTTGTTGTCCCCCGCTTGAAAAGTGGGGGATATTAATTTGGGTTTGTCCGTCCGTCTGTCCGTCCGTCCGTCCGTCCGTCTTTCTGTCTGTCTGTAACGCTTTCGTTTCCACACGATATCTCGAGAACCCTTTGAGCTTTTGCAATGAAATTTAGCATAGCAACTCCCTGTGGACTGAAGAAGACCCCTATTGATTTTGAGGTCAAAAGGTCAAAGGTCAAGGTCATAAATAAGCAAATTCTGTCTGTTAAAACACTTTCGTTTCCACACGATATCTCTAGAACCATTTGAGCTATTGCAGTGAAATTTTATATAACAACTCCCTGTGGCCTAAGGAAGACCCCTATTGATTTTGAGGTCAAAAGGTCAAAGTTCAAGGTCGTAAATTTATACATTCTGTCTGTGTGAAATACTATTATTTCCGGGCGATATTTCAAGAAGATTTTGAGCTTATGCAATGTAATTTTATATCAAAACTCCATAGGACGTCTCTCGCCCCTCTCAAAGTGCCCCGCCCCGTTTGTTTTATTAGTATTTATAGTATTACATGTCGCTATTTTTAGCGCAGGGGCATGAGGAGAGTTATTGCGTATAAAACAGGTTCTCGGTGGACTTTATGTTCTTATTACATCTATTAGAACTGTTTAATAAAGGCTAAATAAATCAAACACCATGGATTGTGTAAAATTTTGAGAATACCGAACATGAATATATACATGTATGTGACTTCACTTCTGCATATACTTCACACCATGTAAAGCGATTCCGTGGTGTAGTGGTTATGTCTCTCGCCTCAAGTGTGAGAGATCGAATCTCGGTGGAACCTTCCTTTTTTTTTTTTTTTAAATACTTTTTTTTTTTTTTTTTTTACTAAATGATAGTATTCAGCATGTGAAATGAAAAATTTATGAGGTTATAAAATCATCATTACAGTGTGATAAAAATTCCATATAAAAAATCTTCTATACACATAATGAAGAATAAGCAATCAAATCTTTATATGCATATTGACATACATGCATTTTATTTGCTTCAGTATACATGTATACATTTAATAATTCTACAAATTCAGTCAGGGGGAGCCGACTTTTTCCCTAAGCGGGGGACACGAATTCTCTGAATTAGCTTGTTATTTTATGTACACAGTGAATACATTTAACCTTTTCTAGACAAAAATATGCTCAAGTTGAACGTCATGAAAGGCATGGATACTAAATTTGTATTTTAAATTTTTGTAATAGCTGAATCCTCTGTATGATTACGTGTATACATGTAACATTACATACTTTAAGTTTCTTTGCTATGTATGCGCTCCCTCCATCTTTTCCGTACGGATATTCATATGGAACTCCCCAATCACGGATGAGAAATATCAGCCGCTGTGAACAAGTGTTACAGTAAATTAACTTTTTTTAAAACATTGATTCAATGAACGAAATTACAGCATTATACATAGCTTGCAGGTTGTAATCTTAGGAAAATTTAATTCCATTTAATCTTAGGAAAATTTAATTCCATTAAATAATTGTCTATGATTGTTCGAAAACGAGTCAAAGCTTTATATGAGCTTATACTGATCTGGTGGCCAGTGTTTCTCCTGATGTTTCAACTGCAAGTCTTCCGAACTCAGAGAAAAACTGTAAAAGAATTTAGAATAACATAAAACATATTTAGTTAAGATATATTATTAAGATATATATTGTAACGCTACGGAACGCCTGCCTTGTGTTGAGAACAAAAACTCCGATGTAAAGTTTTATAATTTTATTCAGTAATACATGAACAGCGAAAATAAATAACAGGGTGTGAAATTCACAAGTCTCAACCCTTGGGACATAAGACAAAATCAGTACAACTACTGATATAACTGGCACTATTTCCAGTAAATTATAATTAAAGTGTAAATTCCCCCGACCAAACTAAAACGTAAAGGCTATGAATGACTTATAATTTATTTACAAATAAATATTCCCGCTACTAGTTCAACTACTAGCACGCAGCATAAATATTTCCTAACTCCTAAAGAAGATTAAATAACTAGTTCTCAACTAGTAATTATAAATAAAACTAGTACAATTACTGATAATATTAATTTAGCCTAACATTACATATGTACTTCAGTCAATACTGAAATAGTACACACCTTACACTGGATACAAAACTGCCGACCTTTCTTTAGGACGCAAAGAAAACGAGAGAGCAAACGATATTCAGCATCTGGGTATTTTTAGAATTAACAAAACCCGCAATAACTCATAAACAATCATAATTGAAAATCACATCCTGTTAATAATAATGCTGATCAAATCTAATTATCGTCCCGTAATGAAATTTCACTCTCGTACATCGTATGTAAAATTATTACAATACGTAAATATTAAATAAATTCATAAAATATAACGTTACACTCTTCAAAGCTCATTTAACTGTTTAACATTTAATTTAAAAAAAAATTACAATCAAATCTTCCGCCAACATAACTCAAGTAAAAATAGATTACCGTGATGCATCATGGGAAAATACACAAGTAAACAAAGTATGGCGGTGGCAGAAGTTTCAGTGAAACGTGTGTGCTCGAAGACGATAAAAACATCGATCACACGACAAATAAGGGAACTATAAGATAATCCTAAATTACAGCGCAACCTTATAATATTGTGTGTAAGATTAAGCCAACAAAAAGCGTGTAATTAAATAGCAAGACGATGTGTGACATTCAACACATCTAAACACAAGAAATATGGCACAGAACTTCGTTAAATTTAAACAACCAATAATTAAGAAATAACTCTCGCTGGACATTTCAATATTTTATACAAGAATTGATGGATAAGATGAAGGTGTGCATGAAAGTGCTTTACCAAGATAAAAATGAGATTCAAGAAAAATGGGGGAGGGATCGTTACAATATTATTAATAAGATGACAAACAACATTGAAAGTTTTTTTACAGTCAAACTTTTCTTTTAAACAGTATTAACTACTCCCGAAATGATGTCTATATTTGCTATGTGTCTTAAATTCAATCATATATCATCAGTGATTATTTGTTGAAATTTGGTAAACAAAACATTCATTAGTTGTTATAATTTTTTGTTGGCAAGGCCGGTACCCATTTTTGATGCCTATTTTATTATTTATATGCAATTTTCTTAAATATTTGTGATCTTGTTGTTCAAATTCATATTCGGGGATGCAGTTTAATATCTGGAGGAGTCTAGAAAGCAATTGTTTTGCCCAAAAAAATCTAAAGGTTTATGAAAGTAAGGAACCAGAATCAGGAATCCACTACACTAAATTTCTTCATGACAGCGTCCAAACCCGCACGCCCTGAAGAGTAAAGGAGATTTTGGGATAAACAGAAAATTAATTTTTTCACATGAACAATATTCGGCAGATCTTTCGCATTTTGACTTTTATTCATTTTCCAAACTTGAAAAAACACCTTTCAGAAGTAAGAAATGAGTCCAGGAAATCTTAAGTTCTGCCATTTTCCAGTAAACTAAGGGTCATACCAAAAATTGAGTTCTAAACACAATTAGAAATTGGATGAAAAATTTTACGGATATGTGTTTTAATTAATAGAGAAAATTAAGTTAAATCATTAAGAATAAATCATTGAAAAGCGTCTTTTGCTTCTTTCCGAGCACCGAGGACATTATTTATTGTGCAGCCCTCGTATGATTCATTTATGTTTAACTAGGTTAAAAGAAAACACTTTTATTCCATCAAATCTTAATTTTTATCAAATCTTGAGGTAATACTGATGCACACTGGTGAAAATTATTCAACTTATTTGATCTGAATATTTGCTTTGACCTACTAATATTTGTGTTTAGCTAATTTAAAAAAACTGTTCAAAATATATTTATCAAATTTCACATTATTTTACACATTGATGAAAGCTTTTCAATTTTAATAATTTGTTTCTTCTTAAAATTGCATTTTAGTTTTAAAGAAAGTAATCAAGATATTTCTATGAAAGCTAATGCAATGATACATAAATTTAAAAAAAAATCATCAACTGTGTCAATTTTTTTTACGCTGACCTTCCCAATGACCTTTAACTTTACTATATACTATTTATTGCGCATAAAACTCACTTTGTTCATGACTGTATGTCGACATGGTAATTGTCAATAAAGTGAATTGAACTGGGTTGAATTTAAAGAAACTATTCAAAATATTATCACCAAAGACCAAACACTAAATAAACGTTTTTAAGCATGTCATATTACCATATTTTTTGTATTATTACTACATTATTTTGTTAGTTAGTTAGTTTTCTCTACGGTTCTTCAGGATCATAGAATGTATAGTAGTAAGACATTACCTCGAAATGCTGCAGGTCGTTTTCTTGTAGCTGTTGCATTAGGTTATAAATCTAGAGAAAAAGAACGATTATGTTAAATTAAGGCTGAAAAATAATTGGAGTTTTTAAAGCAGCTAGAGGTATTGTGAGCAATGAGCTCACTACATGATATACGTCTCTCATATGGTTACAACGCAAGGACCATGTTTTGTAAAGGATCGAAGACCTGAATTAAGTGTCAGATAAAAAATAATAAAATAGGGGTGCATAATGGCATTATGTTATAAAGAATCTACGCAAGTATCATTTAATTTTATTCAGTGGTATAGGAGGAGTTGCGGATAAGAGATGGGTATCCTTCAATATTAATGAAAAATTACTGAGTATGTTATTATCTGTGTAAAAGAAAAATATGTGAAAGTATCATAAAATTCAATTTTATTCAGTGGTATAGGAGGAGTTGCGGATAAGAGATGAGTAAACTTCAATATTATAAAAAAGAATGGCAGTGAACTGATCGTGTTTTGCTTGCAAAACCCAAAATATGTGTCCAATTAAAAAAGTAAAATACTAGTAGGTCATAATAGCACTGTTTAACAAAGATTCTGTGATAGTCTCATTAAATTTCATTCAACGATAGTTGCGGATAAGAAATGGGTATCCCAAAGCGTAACAGACGGACGTCATCCCGAAAACATTCAGTTTGTATTATTTTGTAAGTGAAGGAGTTTAAATATGTCATCAACATTTTCAATATAATGATGAGAATTTCAGTTCTAGCCCCCCCCCCCTCCCCTTTGGAACATTTGTTAGATCCTTGTCCGTGTCCTATGGACGCGAAGTAGGAGTTGATCGTTACGTCTCGTGTGCAAAATCCCACTATAGACGAGGAGAGTGGTTCTTCAGATGAGGCAGAAAAAACCGAGGTCCCGTGTTGCAGTAGGTTCAGGCGCAAAAATTTCCCTCCCTGCTCTAATGCTCAAAATTTCAAATATGTACATGTCTAAATTTGGAACCTTACGTCCAAAAGCGTTGGTAACTCGATATGAGTGAAAAGTTCTCGAAGAGACGTTAAACATACAGAAAACTCTTACCTGCACCGAGCTGATCAGATTGCTGAGAGCAAACACACTGGCACAGTCTTTTACTGTGGATTCGCTGTCAAAAACTCCTTGCGTGTCCATTAATAAAATTGCAACCTATTTCATAAAATAACATTTGTTTTTAAAAATGAATACATTTATGTTTTTAAAAAAGAGAATATTTTATTATAATCGAGTCTTTTTAATTTGAGTGCGTTTTGGGGCATAGTAAAGGGGGGATTTATTTCATAAAAATCGAAAGCTACGTTGGCCTTCAATCTAAGCAGGGCTAAAGTAAAAGAAAATTGCCTAGAAGCATCAACTCTGGTAATGATAACTACTTTTGGTACTAATCATCTCGAGTACGTTATCTTTAATTTGAAAGTGTTAAACCTTTTGGGTTTATATAATAATCATTCATGTATTATATCACACAAATTATTTGTCTTAATAGCAATTGAAGGTCAACGCAGTTACATGAAAAACAGTTTCTGTAATACATTCAAAAAAGAACTTAAAAACAATCACATCCGATGCAATTACAAAATCCGATGCAATTACAATATATGATTTTCTATCTGAAACTATAGTTATATGTATGTCATGATTGACATTGTTCACTTATTCTAAATGAAAATGTTACCTGTAAACCATCTTTCTTTAATTAATATTGAGTATTTGTTTTATAAAATCACAGTAAATGCATGTACCTTTTCTCCACATTTGTTTTCTCGAATAAAAGGTTTGCTCCAAATATGAATTCCAGACGTTACTCTTTCTGAACCACCTCTCCACTCAAATCCTTCGATCACGTCTTCATCATGTAGCCATTCATAGTCCTTCGGGAAGAAAGGCGAATTATAAAACTGTTAAAGAATAAATTTGATTGCAATAATAACTTTCCCCTAGTATATGCATATATTCATTTACTTTCATTGATACTCACTTCAGATTCAGTCTGAAAAAACTGCAGGAAAAATCCCATTAGAAATGATTTTCCCTTTCTGAAGGCCCCAGCCACGGACACGATAACCACAGGATTATCCTTAACATCTGGGTGCATCAGAATTTTTGCCAGATTCTCTTCATTTAGCTCAAGTCCATGACTTATCACTCCATCGTTTTCGTCCGTCGTTACTCGAATTATTTGCAAAGATTCACCTGTTTCAATGACTAGATTTTAAAATTATGACTTAAAGTCGCACACTACGTTGAAAAATGCACGTTATCTAGTAATATATTTATCATCTATTAACCAATATATGATCCTGTATGCCAGAATTTAAAAAATGCCACCCTAGAGGAAAAAAGTATGTGGCAGGTTATTCCTTGTGATATTTATCAAATATTATACAAAACTAAAATTTGACTCTTCTACGTCAAATGAGCAGGCACAACGGCTCAAACATTTGGCCGTCGGAAATGATTTTGACCTCAAATAAATGTCAATAAAAGTCTCTATCTCTGTAATGAGGTTCTCAGGTGCAAATAGTTTTAAATCGAAAGTACACTTCAGGTCGCCTAGCTCACTGAAATGTATTTGCGGACAATGGTCATCGGAAATACCACTTTGTAGGTCATTTTATATTTATAGATACTTATATATTGATAACATAAAACTTTAAAAATCCATTATCAATTTCATCGAAAAAAATATATATGAACTCTTATTTCGAATAAATGTAATGTATGTAAGAATGCATTTCTCAAATTAAACATACTCGTTTATGTTAGTTATGCATTTTCTAAAACGTACTTTTAAATCTTATATACATGTAAGTACAATGTATTATCTGTATATAAGGACAACCTTATTATAAATATAAGGATAAATATAAATAAATATTTACTACATACCTATGTGATCCATTTCCCTTCAGTCTAAATGTTAAGATATAAATTCTCTTTTATTACAGCAACAATATTGCAAACAAGACATAAACCGAAAAAAAATTAAAATTCAGGGCTTTCCAATTCAATTTTATAAAATGTGTAAAACCAGGTATAGTTTATTTATAGCATCTTTAAGCGTGTTAAACGGGCGCGTGATAGCATTTTATCGGCCATGATGTCCTTTTCACCCTAAGCACAATGCAAAAATTTTTAAGGAAGCTCTAAACACTTTAGTCTAACAGAAACTATTTTTTCAGAGGAAAATATATCATATAAAGATATGCATATTGAGACTGTTTCATTCATTTAGAACATAGGGCACGTGCCTTATTTGTCCAGGAAAAATGTTCAAAGACAATGGACTATTCATGAGCAGAAATCACTGTCCTTTACTTACATTAGGAAAATTAATAAAAATAATTAAATTTCTTACTCTTGGTCTTATATAATGCTAAAAATATTTTAATCTATTTTGAATTATGTAATTAACGGTAAATAACAATTTCTTTAATCTTACATCTAAGGGCAGATCACTCTAACTGCATAAAACTACCCAATAAATCAATTTCTATTAGTTGGACACAGACTACCAATTATATTGCTACACATTCCTTATATAAAAAATGATTTTAAAAATTACACCGGCTCAACTTACCTGAAACTTGGCACAGAGTAACACTAATTCAAGTCCAAAAAGTTTTCAAGCTCTTAGGAACATTCATAGTCTGCAAGTCCTTTTATGGCATCGCAAATAACCCCATCCCTGCTTTTTTCACTTTCTCTTCGAGGAAAGGGTAAATATGGACCTCTTTACACCCTGCCTACTACGCGCTTAAAAGCAAAATTTCCCATCATTATCAATTTTATATTTTTTTTCAGACCCTCTCCTTTCCATTTATGCCCCAAAATAACCCCATTCCACTCTATAAACACCCCAAAGAATTTTTAAGGAAAAACTTCTATATTTAAACTGGAACTAGCTAAAATTAGTTAGTCTGTAACCAATTGTATTTGGGGATTGAAGGATAGTTGTTTGGTCATAGTATATAAGAAGTTGGTTAGGCGTCAAGTGGTCATCGACGAGCAATAATCAACCAGATTCGAACACGCTTTTTTAATTACCTATATATATTGTATAATTATGATATGTTACATTGTATTTTGCAGATAGATTGTATTTGGAATGGAAATGTTTCTTGGGGTCTTCAGTGCATCGCTACTTAAAGTCGCCTGTTATTTGTACATATATGCTGGTTGATAGGCGCTCAACAAACTCTATATCTGTGTTCTGTTTTTTATTCTCTAAGATACTGAGAATAGAAATATTTTATGTTCGGATGAGTGAAACGAAGGAGAACATAGAGTTCTTTAGTGTGCAGTGTTTAGAGCGTCCTAAAAGAGGAAGATGAAAACATGTTGAAATCAACGTTAAATTGAAAACTGGTTATAGTAGAATTTTGCCGATTTTATTTCTTCCTGTTTTTTGGAGTTGTATATAGTTATAAACTGTAATTCAAAGTAGCTCTCTATAAAACATACACATAAAAATCTTAAGGTATGTCACTCGTCAGCTTTTTAGAAAGTCCACGCAGACCCTCTTACTTCAAATCTATTTATTAAAATTCAATTTTTATGAATAACATATCTAATTTCAACAATGTTAATGTTTTAACATTCAACGAAAAAACTGCTCAAAAAATTAAAAGAGGCAAGGTTTATGAGGGACTTTTTCTTGTGGTGGAAGGATATTTAGCAGATAATTCTGCAAATCTGCATATTTATTAAATTTAATATCTTGGAACTTTAGCCTCAATACTTTTACTCGGAGAATATTTTCCATTATGATATTGCTAAAAATATTTAATATGGCCCTTAGTGTATATTTTTAGAACAAGTTTTACACCTTCATTTAAGGTAAATGAAGATGAAGATATGTCAAATAGGTCTAGATAAAATTTACACCATTTTTTCGCCTGAAAATCACATATTTTGACCAAAATTTCAAAATCAACATCACTGATCCCAATTTTTTCTTTCATTCTTTTAAAGTACTCGATACTGTGACTGATTAGCACTTAAGTCTTAAAAAGCTTGATTTAAGAAAATCTTTTATTGTCCATTTAGTTTTTTAATACCCCAAATATGTTACTTTTTAGTGCAAAAAGGTCAAACAATAATTTACGCACATTCATTTGCAAGATTTTTTCTTTTTTTTAATAAATATTATTCAAAGTATTTTACATAAAATAAAATTATATTTATTGCCATGGTTACATCTGATAAAATATGATAAAGGTTAAAGTAATCAACCAAAGAGTTAAAATTTAAGTGCAAAAAGGTCAACTTCATTGTACTGTAGATCAACTAGTTAGATTAACTCTGACTCCCTATTTTCTCTGCGATTTTGAGTCACTCTGTATGAGTACTTATCCAAAATACACTTCTCAAAAAATCCTTGATAACAGAAATTTCACGAGTGACATACCTTAAAATCAATATCTCTTTAACAAACAAAAGTACAGATGTTACACAAACCGTTAAAATTCCAGCTTTAAAGGTAAGGAGTATAAAGTTCAAAATTAAAAAAGAATTGAAATAAAATTGTACAAACAGGTATTTTTTGAAATCCATAATGGGGTTTTCGTATAATAGTTATATAATATTGTCCGATTCACAATAAACAGTGAGGGGTAAGAATATTTAATAGGCATCAGGGTCAATATTAACCAAAATTGGTACAAAGCATCCATTGTGTGAAGAGGAGTTTTAGTCTGCAAATGAAGTTCAAGCCCCCTTACAAGGGGAGATAACCAAAGAAAGACAAAAATAGGATTTGGTCATTAAAAATCTTCTCAAGAACTACTGAGAATTATGTAGAAGCATCTTGAGCATCCTATTGTAGATTTTTTTTTATTTATTCAAATCAATACCCCGGGGGAGCACAATAGTGAATCCAAGTTTATCATAGAAATACATACATGAAAAAAAAAATTAAACATACTTTTCAGTCGCATTCGTGGCATAGTGGTTAGAGCATCTGCTCTAGAGTAGCGAAGTAAGGAGTTGATCCTTATGTCGCGGGTTCAAATCCCAATGTGGGACGTGGAGACCGTATAAACCGAGGTCCCATGTCGCAGTATATGCTGGCACGAAAAAATCCCTCCCTGCTCAATGGCCTTGAGTGTCAAGTATATGAACAAACTTTGCAGCTCTCCATCGGCAAGCGGTGGTGTCTCTATATGAGTGAAAAATTGATCTCGAGAGGGACATTAAACAACACACAAGCATGCAAGTCTTTTCAAGTCTGGGCCAGAAAGGTTGAACTTGAAGTGATAGCATCCTGAGGTAATGTAAATTCTAAATTGTTCAAATTATCAGCCACGGGGATAGGGCTAAACACAATAAAGAATTCAAATTCCATTTTTAAATATAAAAAAAATATCTTTAATTATCTCTCTTCTACCCTGGGGGAAGGCGGGGCCACAATAGGTATAACAGGTGGGGGTGTCTAGTGAAGAACAACAGGACCAGTGATACTCGGGTGAGCGGTGTGACACACATGTCTCATGTTTCCTTATCTCTTGTTTGTCCTGTATCAGATATTTCAATTAAGTAGCCCCTGGGTTAAGTTTTATTTTGCTAATCCCTTGCATTATTCACATTCACGTTGTCTTTCGTTGTAGTCGTCATAAACTATTCACATTTTCTTCTCCAGAATAACTGGGCCAATTTCAACCAAACCAGGCACAGAGTATCCTGAAGTAAATAAAATTCAATTTTGTTCAAAGGAATAGCCAAGCCTTCTTCCAAGGGGAGATAATAACAAAATAGTAAAATGTTGAAGGTAGAATTTTAAATTTCTTCTCAGTAATTATTGGACTAGGAAAAATGAAACAGGAAAAATCCTACAGGCTTCTTCACAATTTTGTTCGAGTCACATCCCCCTCTTTTAGGGCTAGGTCGGGACCATGATACCACTTATTCATAAAAGCTTTTTCATGATCAGTACTAAACTAAGTGTTACTTTTTCCTATCCACAGTGCTCGGGTTACCTCTTTCCACGAACTTGTCTATGGAAAATGACAATTGTTGATATTTTCAAAAAGACACATGAGGTTCTTTAATATATAGTACTCAGTACTTAAAACAGAGAGAACTAGTGCTAATTGTAACGGGGACCGTTACAGATGTTCCCCAAACGCTCCCCAACTCCCTTTTGTAATCATATTCCCTGTAGGCGTAATTAAATAAGACAAACTCTATGCATTTGAGACTTTAACAACGTTTACCAAGAAGTGTACCATGTTCATTCAAATTTTATTATTGCACACTTGCGCATGTGAATGCATGTGCGTAATGACCATATCATATTGTCTACACAATCTATATATTTTAATATGCTAAATATAATCCAAAAGTATAAAAAAAAAAAAGGTCATTCAAGTGTATTTTTGATTTTACCCATTTCACGTGCACGCACGTGCATACATGAGCATGGTGACCATACATTCTTGTAGAAGTCCATTACATCTATCTATGTTCTAAATCCCACCCCGTGTGGTTGAAAACCAAGGGAGTTATACCTGTTTAAAGTTTCAGCCAATCAGATTGCAGCGCATGTACACGCACATGTATGCATGTGCATAGTGACCATACCTTCTTGTAGAAGTCCAGTATATATATCTATGTTCCAAATCCCATCCTGTTTGGTTGAAAACCAAGGGAGTTATGGCTGTTTAAAGTTTCAGCCAATCAGATTGCAGCGCACGTACACGCACGTGTATGCCTGTGCATGGTGACCATACCTTCTTGTAGAAGTCGATTATATATATCTATGTTCCAAATCTTATCCTGTTTGGTTGAAAACCAAGGGAGTTACTCCAGTATAGCAATTTAAAGTTTCAGCCAATCAGATTGCAGCGCACGTGCATGCACGTGTTTTCATGATAATTGCTATATACCATGTTGTAGGATATCCTTATGCATGGCTATGTTCAAAGTTTCAAAGGATTTCGTCAAAAAACAAGAAAGATATAGAGACTTTAGCTTCAGCCAATCAGAGCAAAGCGCACGTGCATGCGCGTGAG